GCTGTTCTGCAAGGCAATTCTGTTGGAAGGGAAGCAAGGGACTTCAAGAACTTTAATTAAACATTCACATCTTCTCAATTACTTTGGATCTTTCAGAGCCGAGAACAAAATGTTGGTTAATGGTATCTCTGGGTCAGGCTCTGAGTTGTAGATGCTGCGATGCTTGTCTCTAGAGACAAGGCAGGGAAAGCCAGTGCCTGTTTAGCATTCTGATGAGGGAGATCCTACAGGAACTGGAAGGAGTGGTATCTTTACACAGCTTTTTTTTTTGTCTTGTGGGGGGTACACCTCTGCCTAAAAATACATTTTTAAATCCATTACATTAGTGGTTCAGCTGCTGTTCCTTTACTTCAGCTATAAAGGCTAAATATTATGTACTGTCTAAAATTATGGATTCCTGCTATACTGTGTCATTGTGTTGGTGTCTCCCAAGAGTCACCATGGTGGTGGTTTGATCTGCTCTGCTGGCCCTGTTGTTACTGCTCCGTAGGGAGGCTTTGGGGATGCTCCTGTGCTCCGGGAGAGGTTGGGTGGGTGCTGTGGCAGCGTAGGGGCTGCATTCGGACCCCTGAGCATGTGTGGGGCAGCACCTGCTGTGGGTAACCCACCCATGACCAGTGTGCAGAGACTGTGAAATTAGGATGCCCTACAGTGGCCGTTTTCTGTGCCAATACTTCAGGTGAGTATTTAATTTATGGAGACTCACATGAATGTGTGAGTCTCTTGTAATTTGAGCAGTTAAGTTTTTTCAAAACAGATATTTTATAGTTGATGAGAAGGGTCATTTGTGTGAAATTACTTGTCTTCTGCGTCTGCAAATGTCGTGGCTTATTACACCTTGCTTCTGAAATGTTCTTAAAATTCTGACTCTCTCTACAGCCTTAATTACTGCCCATTAAAATTTCTGTGATCCAGACCAAATAGTAATGGAGATGGATGGAGGGGCTGGCTCACTGAAAGTGCTTCAGATGTTGTGGAAGGCATCAGGTCACTTCAGTGCATTAAGTATAAACAATTCTAAAGATCAGAGTTATTTAAAAGTAGAGGTTGAATAAACTTCTGGGAATGGTAGAAGATGCTAAACGTTCACACAAATAATTGTAATGGCTTTTTCCTGCACTGGGGTTAGAATGAGAATAAAAAGGGAAGGCACTTCACAAAGCACAGTAGTCTTTGCTTTCTGCAGAAATAACGGGTATAAATAGTAAATGTGAGCGAACTGCTGCAACCGAATGTAGACCTCTCACGGGCCAGGGTACAAAGGTGCTTGGTGTGCACGTTCTGTACTTACAATTCTTTAGGATCACAATGAATGAAAACATTGCTTTTTTTATTACTGTACACTGTCTAAAATGAACTGGAGCGATTCTGTGATTCCTTGCATGCTGAACACGTGGCTGTTACCATTGTGTGTCACAGGCGTGATCTGTTTGTCCCCTGCCTCACACATTGGGCTGTCCACAACTGCTGGTGTAGTGTTTAAAAAAAGAAAAGTGTTAAACAACCAAACAAAAAAATACAAATGAGCAGGGAGTGATTTCTGATAGTAAAAAAAAAAAAAAAAAGGTTCTAAAAATCCTATGGGAAGACTTGGCCCTGCCTTCTGCCTGGAAATATTTTTTAACTTCAGATTTCTTTTAGAACCTGAAAAATTAATTTTTTTCCTCACAAAACAGATTACTGGAATTAGAAAGTTTCATCCCTCATCCCACGAGTCCAAGTATAAAAGAGTAACCTTAGGGATATGTCTGATCATCTTTGATCTAAAGCACACGAGCACGTAATTCCTAATACATTGGGGACTGATGCTTAATTGAGGAATTAGCGATGCCAGAAGAGAGCTCTCTTTGGGGCAATGTACGTATGGCCAAATACAGTTTCAGGATCTCAGACAGAAGCATCAGAGTTGCTAATTGCACTGGGGGTGTTTTCTAAGTGGTGTATGAGACTCGAGACACTTAGACTGATTGCTCTGTCATTCAGCCAGCCATAGCATACTGCTGAATTATCTTAGAGGGGTGCCAGTAACTCATCTGTGACCTCCATTACTAATACATAGGGGAACACTCCTGTGACCCCAGTGTTTCAAAAGCGTTGACTCATCTTTTCTGTTTATTCACGCAAAAATCAGCTTAAGTTGTTGGTTGTTTTTTTTTAATAGGTGAATGGATGCAGCTTCTTTCCATCTTGCTTTTGTTGCCTTCGTGCAGTTTGCCTCATCTCCATATTGAAAGCAGATTAAGGGACTGGAACTTCTAATGGCTTTTACAATGAGTCACAGTTGCACGTCTAGACTCCTTAGATGATTTTTATTTTCTCACTAGCACGTAGGATGAGAATTTCTCTCTGGTAGTTTAGTTACACAGTCAAGTCCAAGCATAATAGTTTTCCTCTTGGAAGTGCTGTAGGAGATTATGTCAAAGCTATATCTTAACTTAGCGTGTCTATGCTGAAACCTTCATGATCTCAGCTCTCATCTTTAGGAAGTTCTTTCATTTCGTATTTACACAGCTAACTTCCATTTTTTATGTTTTTTTTCTTTTGGGGGAGATGGAGAGAGACTAGATTGGCTCCCTTGCTCCCACCCCCAAATCAAAAATCGTCTTTATATCTTCTATTTTCTGAAGTGTACAGATGTTTATATAAAATGTGATTCACTTGCATATTGTTCCTGCTAACAAGGTGGGAGGCTTCTTAGTGGTGTACTAGTCCCAAACGGCAGCAACAGCAAACCTCGCCAAAAGTGACCAAAGTCATGGCCTTAATATATGCTGTTGTGTGGCTTCCCAGCTCCGGTGGGCTGGGTGCAGCCTTTCAGAAGAGGGAAAACGAGTATGTTAGGTGGGGTACATCTAATGAAATCATCTAGCTGCCAAATCCAGTGAGCAGTGAAATCTGTAGCTTAATAAAGTGAATAAACTCCTAAACAGTGTCACCTGATACTGTTTGCAGTATATCTGCTGGTGATGTTCAAAGAGACAACCTGATTGTTGGTACTTAAAGATATCAGAGCGAAAATTTGGTGGTGACAGGGGCAGCTCCTCTCTCTGCCCGCTCGCAACCTTGTTTCCCCCAGATCAGCTCATGCAGCTGCGATTACTGAGCCAACTCACCTCTAAGGGCTGTAGCTTACAGCTGCGGCATTTCAGTGTGGGGCGATGTGATGAGCATCCCACCGTGGGGGAACGCGGGGTTGGAAGCGCGTGGAAGAGCCTGGTGTTGAGGGCAGCGCAGGGGATGCTGTTACCAGTGGTGCCTGATGGCAAATTTCAGGGACTAGCAGGGTAAAATTTGCCTGCTATAATAAAGAAATTTTTAAATTAAATGGTTCAGTAATTGCAGTTTACTTTTTCATCTCAAAACACATTTCCAGCGAAAGCAATGGTGCCTCTCTTTATCTACAGTTGTAGAACCCTCAAAATTAATGCATTGGTACCCTTTCTTAAATATGCTTGATTTCCCTGGAGGAAAGACTGATCCGAGCTTTTGAAAACCTTTGTCAATGTGACTGCTACCCTTAATTAGTTTGAATAGATTTCTGATCTGCAGGAAATGTAATTGAGTTATCACTATAGTCTTCATTCTATTAGAAAAATTGAAATTCATTTCTTGACACTTGGTCCAACAAAGTATTTGGTTTAAGGGCTGGGAACTGTAACAGCTAAAATATCTTAAATGTTTGATATAATTTGCTAATTCACTAAAACTTTCTAAAATCTTCTCCTTTCCAGGGTTATGCACAGAAGTATATTGTGAAGAACTACTTCTACTACTACTTGTTCAAGTTTTCAGCTGCTTTGGGTGAAGAGATTTTTTATATCACTTTCCTTCCATTTACCTACTGGAACATAGATCACTCCGTGTCTAGAAGGATGATAATTATTTGGTCTGTAAGTATTTCTATGACCTATTTAAACATGTGTTTGTTCATTCTGTAACTATAGCAAATGAATATTTAAGAATAATCCTTCAAACAAACAAAATCCCTTCAAACAAAAAAAGGCCAACATTATTTATATGTGTAACTTGTGTGTTCATGAAGCAGAGGCATTGCGACACAGAGAGGAGGCGAGAGGCATTAGCTGACGCAGGGTGTCTTCATCTCGTTACATTTTGCACTGACTTTTTTCAGCCCCATAACTGATTGAGTTGCTTTTGACAGGGTTTGCACAGAACAGTTGGGAAAACACTTCCTTCCCAATGTATTATGATATTTTAAGGATCCTTTATCATTTTAGGAAATCTTTCTCTTACCGCAATTTCTTCTGCATAACCTGTTCATATAGTTCTGGCCCAGCTGAAATCAGTATAAATCTAATAGGAAGGGGACTGCAGGCTGCAGTGGAATAAACAGGGTGCTTCTGCAGTCACTTCTGGGGGGGAAATCAGATTCTCTGTTGAAGGCTGAGACTTAAAAGCATTGATTTTTGTTAACACCAGAGCATTCTCAAATTAGCTGGCTTCAGCATTGCTTCAGCCTTCACAACTGTGGTTTGGGGTATCCAGAATAATGTATTTCCATTCTGGTACTGGAAACCAGTAGATAACCAGGCACTTAAGTCTGGGAATGGCTGTTGTTTTGTCGCTGCCATTGCTCATCTTGGTATCGATCAGACCTTTGCTGTCCAAATAAGACCGTTTTAGAGCAAAGAAGGGAGGTAGGAAGCATCTCTGGCAGATGGCAGACCCTGGAGGTTTAGCTGTCAATCTACATTGATGTAAGAAATTGAAGCTTGGTAAAAACTTGGATGTGATATCTAGCTTTGTTTCTTTACAGTGAAGCTTCTCCTTGACTTAGTTCTGGTTAATAATATTCTGTCTTTTGTCCAAGTAATGTCATGAGAAATAATAAAAACAATCTGAATTGGGTCATACACTTCAGATGCACCTGGTCTTGGACAGAAAGCATCAGTTGTTCCGTGCCAGTAACCCTAGTCAATACATTTTATAAAGAGAACACGAAAAATAACTTGCAGATGAAATTTAGAAGTAGGTGGACACTGTATAATTAGAGTTGGGTTTTGGCCAGGAGTACACCTACTGCTTCTGGAAATGTGCCACAGAAGATGATAATTGGTAGTCACTGCCTTCTGGGTTTGCATATAGCTCAAAAAAATGACTCTTTAGAGCTCCTCGCATGCCTTTCTGCAGACTTGCCTTGCCTTTACCTTGCAAGGAGTCCATCTGAGTACTGGCCAGATCTAGGCTGGTTTAATTACAGTATTCATGCATGTGATATTATGATTATTAATATTATTCTTTGACTTAGGGAGTTCTGGAGTTGCATTTTATACTAAAAAGGAGGAGCTGTTTTAAGTACACAGACGTGTGACAATCTGTAGTTAAAAACATTTTAATTATATGTAATTGTGAAATAGCTAAAAATGTCTGTGCAGGCTATGTGTTAATGTTATGGCAAGCTCAGCTGGGTGGCTTATTTGCTGGTGAGCAGGCTGTGAACAGGAATCAGCAGTCATGGTGCTGTAAGTGGTGTTGGTCTGTCTTAGACACCTTGGGCATGTACGCAACAGCAGGATCAGCTTTGCATGGGAGATGCCAAGGTGTTCAATGTGACAAAGCTGTGCTTTTAATTTACTGGAAGGTTTTTGGTGATAGCACTGGAAGGAGGCCTGTCTGGTGACACCGTGGTGAGCAGGAGTGCAGATTTGCAGACTATCTGCAATTCAGAGTTTTAAAGAAATGCTTCTGTTTCTGCATGGATGATGATGTGGGGCTGAGAACAGCCATGTTAGATAAAGTAAAAATCCAGGTAGCCCCATAGTCTCTGACAACAGCTGCCAGTAGAAGGCTGGGAAGAGCACTACGGGGCAAGCGCAGCACCCAGGTGTGGTCTGCAGAAGGCTCTTGTCCAGCTGGGGAAAGGAGTTGGTGTCGAACAGAGAGCCCTGAGGAGAAGGTAGCCATAGTTCCCTTTTAACACTGTTTGGGATGAGGAGAGGTTGTTAGTGAAGCTCTTCAGCAGGGAGAGAGACAGTGGACCTTTTTGTGAGCCTGGTGCAAAGCACACGGGTATGTTGGGAAAAAGTGCTGGTAAAACATGGTCGGCAGGGGTGGTTGTGACGAAGGGGGTTAGACCACTGCGTGGGAGAAGTGGCTTTATCCTTGGGCGATGGAGAAACAGAAGCGGTACTGAGTGTGGTACTTCATTTTGTGCTGTTGGAGAATTAAACCTGTGAGTTTGTGCTGCAGGTTGGAAATGACAAGAGTCAGAGTCCCAGGATGAATCAGGGGAGTTTCTTCCCTTAAAAATTAAAGCCGTATTAATGCTGTTTAGAAGGCCTTCCTGCCATCTTATCTTTCATGGTTTATGCAGAGCCAGTCCCCCACATTTGAGAGAGATAAATTCGAACTGGAGCAGGGCCAGGGATGATTAGGGAACAGGCTATTTTCTGAGTAGAGACTGAAAGCTTAGATAAGTCCCTAACAAAGTGAAGTCGGAGAGAGAATGGGGCAGCCTGTAAACACCAGGGGAAGGAGGAGCTTCTTAAAATAAAAGTACAGTCATGATGAGAAACGTTGCAGAAGACAGTTGTAAATAAGCTAAGTTGAAGCCAAAGGGTGTGAAATAGCTCTAGAAGGGCAGAAGAAAAATTGCAAAGAGTTTATTTCAGCGGCAGCAGAAGAGTGGACTTGGTGCCCTGGCATGTCTTCTCCAGTCCTCGGTCCCCAAAACCAGCTGCTCATGGTTTTCTGTTTAGCTGGATGGCTCTGGGAGATGCTGACTGCGGCCACATCCTGGTGCTTTGGGAGCTTAAAGCAGCACATTGTGCTTGCATGGTGCCTTTCCTCTGAGGATTCACAGTATATATGTAGGCTTTACCTTTCCCTTTAGGGATAAGACAAGTGAAATAGCAGCCTGAAACCTCCAATCAAGATGCTGGGTCAGTGTCAAAGGTACCCTGGTGTCTTCGCTTCCCTTCTTCAGCTCTTTGAAGTAAACGCCCTTGAATCTGCACAGACGAGGCTTTGATGCCTGTGACTCTTGCTACTTCAACCAAGAAGTGCAGAGATGAAAAATAACTTCACATGAACTAAATGTACTTTAAATTTACTGCACATCTCGGCTCAAGAGGTGAAAGTTCAGTTTGGTGTTTTTTTTAATCTCTGCCCCCTTTCAGGGTTGAAAGCTTTATTTTGCTGTGGAATTTCAGCCTGGAAATGAATAGTTAACAGTTTCTGCTTGCCATTCAGCATGCCTGGAAATTTTCTTGTTTTTTTCAGGGTGTGTGGATGTAAAATGTACCCACAGCTCTTTTAAGCCTAAAACTTTCATTTGTACAATATAAATAAGAGCTGGCCAGCGTGGACTTTGTCGGGGCAGGTGTGGAAGCTGTTGGCATATGACAGCGATAAGCTGCTGACTCAAGCGACGGCGGCATCGCCAAAGGAAGGCAGAGTTTGGGAGGCTGGCGGTGCCAGGCAGGCGCTCGCCGGGCTGCCCGTACCCCTCCGGGCTCCCCCGGCTGGGGCCCAAGCGGTGCTGGGCGCAGCACGGGCAGCTCTGAGAAGATCCTGGGTCTGAATCCATGGCAATTTAGTTTCCCCGCCTTGCTTTTTAGACACACAGTTTTCCAAAGGCTGTCAGCGTTTAGTTACTTGGGAGCGATGAGCCCTGAACTCCGGCTTTCAGAGTAACCAGGAGTTTAATAACCAGCAGGAGTTTACCTGCAATTATTACGTGTGGCAACTGAATCCCTGGATGCTGCTTTGAAAATGCACTTTGCAGCAAACTGGCTTTAGTGATTCTTCTGTGTTTGTTAGTTTTTGTGCTTTTGCAACGTTTCACCAAAATATTTGTGTGCTTTTGCAACGTTTCACCAAAATATTTGTGTGCTTTTGCAACGTTTCACCAAAATATTTGTGTGCTTTTGCAACGTTTCACCAAAATATTTGTGGAACAGCTGATAAACATAGTCTCGGGAAAGTGTGCTTTTGCAACGTTTCATGAAAACAGGTTTGGAACAGCTGATAAACATAGTCTCGGGAAAGTCACAACTTTTTAAAGTGCCATATAGTAGACTGCATAAGAGCATATGCAAGACTGTATTCAGGCATGTAAGTAAGTACAAAATGTCAGAATACAAAAATAAGTGGTCTGTAAAAGAAAATGCCATGTGTAAGATGATAAAGTGTTTATTGAGAGGATTTTGTACGTGCCGGTAGCCGTACTCTACCCTTGAAGAAAAAGTGCCAGTGAAGCTTTTGTAACTGAGCTGCTGAATTAAGTTAAACGTTGCGTATTAGATGTCAGTTCAAGACTGCTAAATTTCAGTCAGAATAATTTGAGGCAAAGTTTAAATTGGAAACCTTTTTCATTTCACTAGAACTACAAGTTGTAACACTTTCAGGCGTTAGATGATAAACCAGGTCAATGATAGTAGTTTTTCCTGCTACCAGGAGACTCTGGGCCCAAATGCCTCTTATTTAGACCCATCACAAGATAGTCTGCTATCTTACAGTTTTTGCCTGAAGACTTCTTTTAAAGACAGAGTGAACGTCCCAGGATGTTGGTCGGTTTTACTTCTGGAGGCATGAGGCTCTTTTGATCATATTGTTCTGGTTTTGTTTTTCTGAAGTCTGACTTGGGAGAGCCAAAGTCCTCCTTCATATATAATTTTTTTTTTTTTAAAGAAGCTGCCTGTGCTGTCTCTTCCCTCCTCCCATCCCCTGCTGCCCCTGGCCGTGACATGCATGCTGCACTGCCGCTCGCTGCTGAGCCTGGCACTGCTTGTGGTGGGCTGGAGACCTGCCTCGTGGATGTGCTGCTCACATCATGGCCGGGACCAATTAAATAAATGTTTGAGCATCCCACCAGCTCAATGCAACCTTAAACGTTCCATTGCACCTGTCCAAATCCTCGACAAATGTC